TAGATTCTCAGCCACTCTCACTGACTTCAATGACGCTTAGGCAGGCACAGGACCACAGCCTAAGAAGAATTTCTCAAAGTGTTCTAAATCCAGGCTGCTGGGACAGAATTTAATTAAGAGACAGAAGGGGAGTAAAGAAAATAGCTCTTTTTCAGATTTGTTGAGTTCTAAACAACAAATGTTTCTCCTGCTGAAAGGTTAATATTTTCCTTGCTTTTGGTGACCAATTTTTTTTGTTGTTTTAGATTTCCAATCATCTTTTGTTTCACCAAGTCCATAAGTAATGTTCAATAATTTCTCTTTGAACACAGTTTCTAAATTTATAAACTATGTATATGTTGGAACACTTCATCTGTAACAAAGTGATAAGAGTCTGTAGCCCACAAGTATTTCCTCTAGCATTCCAATGTCAATCAAATGAAAAACATGTAATCTCCAAATTTAATTTCTTAAGCCAGCTCAAATAAATGTGATCCTCATTTTGATTCACACCTCTCTCATGAAACACTTATTTAACTCCAAATTTCTAGCGGGTAGTAATGTTTGTTGTTCTTTAAAAAAAAATCCTGTGACTCCCTAAGGACTAACAATGTTAACTACATTTATCCCCTAGTGAGTTGCAATCAAAAGGACAAAAGTAAACTGAGCACAAGAAGCACTAGTGGTCATGAATCCCTTTACAGTGACCATTTACAAAACAGTCGCTGGGTGGTAACCTATCTGTTTCGCTCCCATCCAGAATATGTTCTAAAATCTACAGCCAAGTCCTACAACTGCCTCTGCTCCGACCTGTCAGAGATTCACAGCTCAATGATTCATATAAGACATCCCTCCAACTAGAGTACACACCCAAAGGAGCAGCCAAACAAAAGGGCAGATCAACAAGGCAACACTGAAACCCAAGAATAATCCATTGCAAGACAAATCCAGAAAACAAAACAACTTAACATCACTTGTCATCACTTACATTTGCCGGCTAAAGCCACTCAAAAACATACAGTGCGTGATATAAAGCCTATTGTGGATAATGACTGCTTCTCTTTATGCTTACAACCAGCCAGCCAGCCATTCGTAAGGATTATCTGTGATGGACAACAGATCTCACAGGGAGCTATAGACACAAGAGCTAGACAACGTTGTTCCCATGTCTACTTAAGCAACATTTCTATAGGACACAGAAAATAACTAGGGGACATGACAAATCACTAAAGATCAAGAAAATAACAAAACATATAAAATATAAAACATATATACAATATACAAAGCTAGACAACTTCAGTCACATAATGAAAAGTACAGACAGCTGATCATTCCAATCAAATAAAAAGGGTTGAAAAACCTTGGAAACTGGTTTGTATGCAGGCACAGCACTGTTGTTGAATGATGCCGTATCCAAAGTCAGAAGAGCCGCAATGAGATTCAACATTCAGTAGTAGAAAAACAAGAAAGTAACCTCCAACATCCGTGGTCCAGATTCTACTGTGATAAACGCCACCATTAGCCTGTAACCTGCCACTGCATTTTACGCAGGACAAACAGGCTAGTTTTTAAGCAAAAGAATAAGCTGACAAAAATACAGCAACTGACATGGAAGTATTAAAGCAAAGTGTTCTGCTTATATACTGCCCCACAGCGCTTAAAGCACTCTCTGGGCAGTTTACAATTGAATTGTGCAGGTTATATTTTGCCTCCAGTCCCCCGCCTGCGAGCTGGGTACTCATTTTATCAACCTCAGAAGGATGGAAGGCAGAGTGAACCTCAAGCCAGCAACCCAGGTCATGAGCAGTTTTGGCTGCAGTACAACAGTTTAACCACTGCACCGCCAGGCTCTCTAACAACCTCCCAGGACATTCTCTCACAACAGAAAGCAGATGAGCAAAACTCTGCTAAGAGATTCAACTCTGCCTTTGGTGGTTAGACTAGGGACAATGGCTTTTCAATACACCACCTGGGTTGGCCAGCTCATTAATGACAAAACTGAGGGCATCTACACTGCTGTCCAAGTACTACTTTTTGTAACCAAGTACCGTTCCTGTTGGCCCCACTGATCGTAATTCCCCACTTATCTGAGTAAATATACAAGGATCTACCCATAAAGACAACAGTTTTTGTATTTGATGAAGTCAGCTGCAGTCCATGAAGGTTTATGGTGTAAAGCTGGCCCCATCTAGACTTTGTCTGGGGTGGGATGGGGTATAAATCCAATAAAAGTAAAGTAAAAGTTATCCTTCTGCAAGCAGGCAAAGACCTTTCTCTCCAAGCAAGCTTTCCCTTAATGAATGGTTGCATGAACTGGGTTTTTTAAACAGACTGTTGTGCCTTACTGTTTTTGGTGTTTATCATCTTTTGCCATCTGCTGTATCCTTTTATGTATTTGTATACGTATGGTTTTTACCTTGAAAGATTGTCTTTTAATAATATAAGCCACTGTGGGTCCTTATTAAGCAGAAAGGTGAGGCAAAAATATTTTAAATAAATAATGTTGATGTTTCAACTTGCTTTAGGACCACTGATACCACACAAGCGTGACATATTCCTTGAAGGCTTTATGTCCATCAAGGCTGCAACAGAAGAGAGAGCAAGGAATTTCTGAGGAGTTGGAAATCAGCCTATGCTGGGGAAAGCTAACTTCTGCTGGGGAAAGCTGTTTTCTGAGACTGATAGGCAGGGCACTTCAAAGTCACAGCAGATTAACTGTTGTCACAGCTTTTCCTTCTAGTGACAGCAGGAAGCACTGAAGGGAGATTGGCAAGAACCATGCAAAGCAAGCTTTGCCACAACAATATGCTCTATAGAGGATTCCAGGAGCTCTCTCACTGTGTCTTAATTTTAAATATAACAGGGTTTCAGCTCAGGATGATGGCTCAACTTGAAGAATCTGTCAACACATGAATTGGACAAATCTGTCTGTCTTTTCTCCAGCCTTGTTTGTTTCAAAAATGAATTGGCATGTCTGGTAATTAATTACCCAGGACAAACAGGCTAGTTTTTAAGCAAAAGAACAAGCTGAGAAAAATATGGCAACAGAAATGGAGGTACAGTATTAACAAGCTCCCAGGACATTCTCTCTCAACAGGAGACAGCTGAGCAAAAATGAAGACACTCAACTCCACCTTTCGTGGTTAGAGTAGAGACAACAGCTTTTTAACACACTACCTGGGGTGACCAGCTCATTAATGGCAAGGCTCAGTGCATCTACATTATGATCCAACATTCGTTTGCTTGCTCATGATTAAATAAATAAATCATGTCACAATCCCAGGGGCTCTGATTTGGGAGCGATCCTCACTCATCACAGCAGGACCAGGTTCCACAGCTATCATCTTAAGCTGAGTAACCTGCCGGTGGATGCCCCCTGGAATCAGTGTGACTTGCAAGTAACAAGATGTAGTTAGGCTAGAGGGTGTAAGCTATTCCTCAAACCGACAGAGAAAGACAAAGTTATTTAGCTGTAGCATAAACTAACAAGAGCAGTTGCTTAAGAAACAAGAGTGCCAAATTCTGGAGCCCCCAACCATACATACGGCATGGTACTGCTATGCCATATTTTTCCCCTGAACCAATTTTCTCTGAGAAGAAATAAAAAGATGGGTAAAAGTGGTAAGAAAAACCCAGACAGTTACAAATGGAAAACAGCAACATCTGACTGTTGCACACCCACCCTTAAAAAACTGTGTGCAAGAGGCTGGACAACTACACACTAAAACTGTGTTTGGAAGCACTCAGTCCGTGTTATTTCAGATGCAAAATATTAACTTCACCACTTATTCTATACTTAAATTTGTTTGTACAGTCATTTGAAAAGGATAAGTGGGCTATCTTAACCCGTCACTTCCCAAGAAACTCCAAATGTCAGAAACCTTTCCAGAAAGGTAAATACACCACCAATTCTGACAAGTAACAATTTTCAGCAAAGGTACCATCGAGGTCTCCTTCAAAATCTGTAAATTTGGCCCCCCACAAATGTTTCCTTTTAATCGAGAGATACATCTGGATGACCGGGTTCTCTGTCTTGGCAATATTCAAGGATGAGAAAAGGCGGAAAAGAATTTCCAGGCAACAAGGTTGAGAACAGCACCCGGGGTCTCTCGTTTTTAAAAGGGCAGCAACTTCATATTTCTGCATTTGTGTATCCACGCTAGTCAAATATTAACCACCCTGAAGACAAGCCCCGTGCAGAATTTCCACCGCAATATTCCTTTCAAAACCCTGAACAACTCGCACCGTCGTGGAGGCACCAAACAGGCAGGCGTAGAGAAGGAAGAAAACGAAACCCTTTCGCCTACAACCCAAAGCAAAACAGGCGCTCCCCCTTTTATCTCCCAACAGGAGCAACTGCGCGCCTGCCGAGGCCATTCCCACGGCTGGCGACCCTTTCCGGGCTTTCCTAGGTAGAGGCTACCCAGGAGCGGATCGCCCTGCCCGGGATCGCGCACCTTGCCCGGGACCAGGGGCCTTTCCCCCCCGCCCGCCC